TCACCTGTTTGGTTTTAATTTTTATCTGTGAAAATTTTTTTCCTTTATTAATCTGATAAATTTAGATAACTGTTCCTTCTCTACTGTACAATGGCTAATCATAATCATATTGAAAAAAATGCAGAACAAAGTATTGTTAAAATCCTTTAGTGAAATGCTCAATTCAACGATTTATTGCGGCAAATTTTGAAAATATTCGCAGAACTGATAACTATATATATCCCGTTCAATAGCAAATTTTTTCAGAAGCAGTAATTAAATTCTATAAGCGCGTTTTTTGTCTAATAATATAATTGTACAACGTGATTATTACTTCTTCAGTTTGAAATACCTATTTTAATTATTAATTTGTTTCATACATTAATGCTGTCTGCTTATGTTTGTTTCTCCAAATAACCGTTTTTTTTCCACTTGAACATTAAATTTTTTGCGAAGAATTAGGTGACAGTAGGTTAAACAAATAAAACAGGCTTTCTGACATCTGGTGATCCTAAGGAATCATTTTTTGGAGAAAAAATCTCCAGAAATTTGACGCAGTTTTTTGATTGTGCCAGACAGTGGTTCTTCTGAATAGTCTGCTGGAGGAAAGCTATAAAAATTGTGCAAAACAGACTTTCACACATATACCTTAAACAAACCGTCTTTCTTCTGTTTACGCTTCCGACTTTGGCACTCTAAATTCCTTCGATAAATTTCGCCCTTACTTTCACTAGCCGTCAAAAGGTATAATATTCCCTTTTACTGAGATACAGAAGAAAGATTTGCAAACAATGAGTTAGGAAGAATTAAAGTTCAGAATCATGTGTTGCAGACGTACAAAGAACTTTTTGCTAATCACCATGTCTAGAAATGTTAAAATAAACTATAGTGACAATCAAACTGCAACCTGTAAAAACCTTTTTTTTCACTAATTCAATTACGTTTACTGCCGTTTTCATTTGTTAAGCAAGTTTTGCATATAAAGTACCTTTAGAAAAAAAACGTTTCGTCTAGAAACTTTATAAAATGTTATTTGCTATATTGATGCTGTTAATCTCCAGCAGACTTTCATTTTGAAAACTTAATTTTTGAATGATATATCTCTTTAGCGATAGAGTGAACAAGACTTCCAAAATGAATTAGCATTTTTATTAATATGAAGCTTATTGCTGTTGATAAACTGTTGCTTCGCAGTTTAATATTTTATCATTCATAAAATAATGTTTTTATCTTTACTTTGCTTAACTTTGCTCTTTAAACAATGCTTCATTTTTATCAGTCGTTTACTCAGACAGTTTTTTATATGCAAACCCTAACACCAACGACGTTTATGTAAAAAAGAGAATTTTACACAACTTCTGCACTTCAAGTGAAAATAAGTATTATTTTGTAATACGTCGCGTACTTTTTGTGGCGTAAATAAACAGCAATAAGACTGTTCAACCCCGCCTAAGAAACAAGCAGATTTGTACTACTCATTCCTCAAACTGGAGTCGAATTGCTAATATTGCAGAAACCCGAAGAACACCAGCATTCAATGGCTGGGGATCGCTAGACGTCTGCCTGTTTGTATAATAACGGACACCTATCGCACTGCGCCAAACGACAACCGTGTCTATCGCTGCTAGAACAAATACATTGAGCGCTATGTCGTTCAGTTTTCGCTGTACGTTTTGTTCTCTGGAGCCGTATCAATAAAATTTCAAGCAAATCACGCTCCGAAAAAAAAAAAAAAAAAAAATCAAAATAAATTTTTAATTCTAATGATATACCATGTAAGCATAGATATTTGTTTTTCTATTTTATTTTTTTGAAACTTCCGATTAGAGATTCTTGACTTTCAATAGATCAGAGTGTTATTAAACTAAGGTCAGAAAAATACGTAACATTTGATTCATCGCTGCAATTTCTTTTCCATCCGCTGCTGTTCTTCTTTTCTTTTGATAAATGCTTCGAGGTCCTTAAAAAACTTTTTACTCAAGTTAAAGCACATGGTTAACAGCTATTTTCAGTAGTGACGGTTTTGTTTTTAAAAATAAAAATAAGATAAACACTGTGACAAGGAGGAAAACAGAGACGAATAAAAGTGAATTGCAAAGAACTGTCTTTTTTTTTTTCAAAAATCTTTTGTTTTCTAATTCTGCTTTTATTTTTCAACTAGTTTATAAAGAAATTTAAGACATACAAATAAAGAACATTTACGTTTTCAAAACAAAAAAAAAAAAGACTCTCTTTCAGTTTGCTGGCTCCATTTCACCTATTGGTCTGAAGGTTGTAGTGAATAGACAGCAACAGGCAATAAACTTTCTTGGAAGTTTGCCTTTAAAAACTTTTCAAAAGACTGTTTATTTTTGCTAAAACTAAAATATTGAAACTTAGTGAAACTTAGTGAAACTTTGAAATTTCTTTAAATTTTACTGATTTTACTCGTTTATTTTTGATAAATATAGGTGAAAGCAACTTTATGATTTAGAAAGAAGTGGAAAGGTGCTGTGTAAAAAACGTGTTTTAGATGCAAGAAAAAGAGGATGCAGAAAGAATAATTTCTTATTTTGAGACATTTTTCGAAGAAGACTCTTCAAGTGTTAAAGAGGTATTTTACCTAACGTACTGCTAGGTACAAAATCGTATACCAGTATATGAGCAGACTTCATGCGTCCAGAATCTAATAGTATTGTAGGTAACGTTCATATTGCCGCTTATTTTAAGGCCTTCCGTGAATTATGCATTAAATACTTTCAAAGCCATTCATTTCATGTAGGAAGCCCGATAAGACCGTTGAAATTGACGAGCCGGCTTTATCCCGAAGAAAAGAATACAGAAAAGAAAGCTCAAGCTTGCTTAGTGGAGTGTTAAAAAAATCAGAGAAGGGCCGAAAAAACACTTTGTTGCTGAAAACGATTACCGTTATGATGATAATTTGCTGCCCTTATTCTTCAGTACGTTCTTCAAGAAGTTATTCCAGGGTCAGATAAGTCGGCTACTTAACACCATAGAAAAGTTGTTTGGAGGGTTCCAGCATTCGGTAATCAGTAGTGAACTGAATTTTATTGGTCTCGTATCTGGCGCTTTTACGAACTCAATCGTGCCTCTTTGGCAAAGGTTAAGTACGCGCAAAGAGAGCGATTTAGGCCTTGGCGGGGTTTTGCAGACTGTTAAATGACATGATCTACGTAAGAACGCTGTTTAAAATAAATCGCTTCATCACTTCAGGTCTTAAATAGCTAAGATATACCATGTGGATCTAAATTAATCTTGACTAGATAGGCAATAGCTTTTCAAAAGCAATTGACTCTAATCTGAGTGCAGTCTGATTGTTGAAAAGTTGTCCAAAAGAATTAAAACACTTACAAGCAATGAGCAGCCACAAGCAATGACAACTAAGGGTAACATTCATTTACTTCATTCCTCTATTTCCACTACTTTGCAAAATTGTAACAATCGTGTAACTAATCCAAAGTTTTACGCAAGCATTTTTCACCTCTAGTTTTAGAAGCCTAACTTCCTTGTGAAAGCACATTGTTGGCAAGGAGTGTCTCGTACACCTTCAGACTACCGCTTGAAGTACGTGCTTGAGGTGCTCTCTAAGCACACACGGGAAGGTTGTTGAAGCAAACTCTGCACTCTTGAGGTGGAGAAAAACGGAGCCATCAGATGAAAAAGCTTGAGGAGAAGTAATTACCTTAGTCTTCTGTTCGACTACTGCATCAATATCCGGATCTTGAAATTGTTTTTCGGTGGCGGCATCTCCTTTCTGTTCCTTTTCTGTCTCTTTCTGTAATCATTTTCTTTTTAACCGTCTGCTTCTTGAAAGCCTGTTGCTTACTATAATTGCAAAAATCGAAAAAAAAAAGTTTATAAAGCAGGCAACTTTTTTGGGGAACTGGCTTTCAAAAGAGCTACTCCAAAGTTCGGGAACATTTCTGTTTGGAACTTTTGGCGTAAGAAAGCTGACATTCGGCGGTGGTCCAATATCCTGTAAAAAAAAAAAAAAAACAATCACTTAGTTTGTTATCAACGGTTTGAAGACTTTCTGTTTTCTGAAAGTAACTGAACTGAAATGGTGCTGATTAAAACTGATACTATAAAATTATTTCTAAAAACTGAAAAATAGAGGCAGACACTAAATGAGTCTTTTCCAGCCAGTATGTATATCGGCTTGTTATGATCCGTGACAATAGTTCTACCGGCATTAGCACCAAACGCAAGATATCCGAATTGGGCACGCATTTTAAGCACTGTATTTTCCATTTTGTTACTGAACATCTGAAAGAGAGAACAGTGTGAGTGACCCTATTCTAAGCCCCAGAATTTTTTGAGGAATCACAGCTGAGTTTTTTCATAACTTAGGTGACTGCAATAGTTTGATCTTAGAATGCGGACTAAAAAACTACTCTTTATTGCTACGCTGAATTAAGACGCAGAAAAAAAACTAAACTGTTATCAAGAGACTCTTTTTGAAAATCTTTTTTACTTTAGATTGAAGGAATTTTATTATTTCTAATTAGTTTTATGACATATCTCATACTTTTTTAATAAACTGTTTAGTTGTGCACGTATAAAACAGAATCCTGAAGTTGCAGAAACAATAATTGTTATATCTTGAGAAGTCAAAGATCAAATATATTTGTGTGCAAATTATTTTGTGAAAGTAATGATGTTATATAATATCTGACATTATAAGATGATTGTTTTATCTAAATGCAGATTTTGAAGCCAAGATACAAAATTTTCTGTGTGCTAGGTGCGTTCCTTATTTTTTTT